AATAAATTACACAAAGAAAAGTGTTTTTTTACACACAGGGGGGTGTACATATAGACACCCCCTTTATTTAACCCGTCTATTATTAAAGTGAGTAGTGTATATTGTACCAAAAAAAAAAAAAAAAAAAAAAAAGTGAGTAGTGTATAAATATTCCTTTAAAACTTCATTGTTAAATATTTATTATTTTATTTGAAAATATATATTTTCTGTTGATATGGCTCATATATTGACAAAGGAAGGAGGCAGGCTGATGCCTGCAAGCGTAACGGAGCGAACGTAGCGAGGGAAGCGGAGCGACCGAACGAAGTGAGCGGAGTGGAGCGAGGGGCAGAGCCCCCGCGGTACGGTACAAGGTATTTAAGTAAATTTATACCTTGTGGGGTTTTAGTATAAATACAAGGTGTATTGATGTATTTGAGACTATTGAGAATAATAGAGATCCCTCAGCCGCCGTGGACGTAGGCACATTGCCGAACCACATAAATCTTGTGTTGTTTACTTTTCTCGTTTTTAATTCGTATGCTATATTTTCATCTTCTCTCAACAAGTGGTACCAGAGCCTGGTTGATTGGGCGACGGAGATGACGGGAGGATCGAAATTCGGTTGTGCCTTGCAGATGAAGTTATGTATCACGTTATGCATCTCGAATCGGTGGATGAGATCTGGAAGAAACTGGAATCGCAGTTTATGTCGAAAACCCTAACGACAAAACTGTATCTGAAGCAGAGGTTATACGGGCTGAAGATGCAGGAGGGGACCGATTTAGGGCAACATGTGAATATCTTCAATCAGGTTGTCACGGATTTGGCTTCACTCGAAGTCAAGATTGAAGATGAAGACAAGGCGATGATTTTACTGTGTTCGTTACCTCCTTCTTACGAACATATGGTGACTACCCTTACATATGGGAAAGAAACGATCAAGACTGAGGAGATTACTTCAGCGTTGTTGGCTCACAACCAGCGGAAACAGAAATCTGGAGAGTCATCTTCTCAAAGTGACAGTTTATATGTGAAGGGTAACCAGGATCGTGGAAGGAAACAAGTGCGGGATAATTCAGGAAATCGAATTTCAGATCCAAGTCGCGAGACAAATCGAAAGGGAGGAAAATTGTGACGTGTTATAAGTGCAAGGAACAAGGGCACTTTAAACGGGATTGCCCAAAGTGGAAGAAACAGACTGCTGATATGTCATCCAAGTCTGCAAATGTGGTACAAAATGAGGAATCCAATTGCAGTGATGGAGATATGTTATCTATTTCGACTACGCAGTATGATGATGCTTGGATTCTCGATTCTGGATGTTCATATCATATAACGCCTAACAGAGAGTGGTTTGCTACTTATAAACCAGGAAACTCGGGTTCTATTTTTCTTGGTGATGATAGATGCTGCGGTATTGTCGGTATTGGAGATGTCAAAATCAGGATGTGTGATGGAACTGTTAGGACATTATGTGATGTGAGACATATCCCTGAGTTGAAGAAGAATTTGATCTCTTTGGGTACTTTGCATAGAAATGGTTTCATTCCCAGGGCTGATGAGGATAGGGAAACCATTAAGATTGTGAAGGGTGCTTTGACTGTGATGAAGGGAAGGATCACTGCAGGGAACATTTTGTTGGAACCAACGAGGATCTCGAGATGCACAAATCACAGACAAACATTCAACATAAACCTATGCGCA